TGCCTGTAAATTAAAACCCTGTCTAGCACAACTTAGCAGATGATGAAATGGAAGGGCTTTGGAATAAAACATTTCTAGGTGGATTTATCCTTGTGCAAGTACAAACTGAGATAAGCAAGAGGAGAAGACAAGGAGGCAAATGTCTATCTTTCTCCTAGAGGTGCTAAAAGGATATTATAGTTCATAAAACACTTTGGCGTTTGCAACTGTGGGCAAGCAATGGGTATTTCTTCCTGTTTATGAATATAATACTAGAGAGAGACTACAGAATATGGGAGAAAGACTAAATGGGTCATTAGTTAAAATATACTGAAGGGATTTTTTTTGAGGAATATACCAAGAAGATAATCTCAAAGGCCATCTTGCTTCAGGTTCTGTCTTCCATTGTATGTGCTCAGCTAATGTTCATGGGGCTCCTGCTATGTGCCAGGGTCTGTACTTGGTCTAAATGTCCAGGTCCCAGACCCTCCATTTACTCTTTGACCTTTGGCTTACAAAGACTATAAAAAGGTAATATGTTCCCTTGAGAGTAACTGGAGTATCAGATGAGGAACACACATACACACCCAACACAGGACCTGGCACCCAGCAAGCACTCAACCAAATGGTAGTCTCCTCCTTTCCTCCATCCTCCTTCTTTCCTATATGAAGGATCAGAGTAATCCAAAAAAATGCCCACAGTAGTAGGTCATGGTTAGTTTCAGTCAGGGATTTCCAATCAACATACCCCCCTCAATTGAGAATAAACAAAGAAAGAAAAGGAAATGAGAGTGAAGATTCATGACCTATAGGAACTAAGGGATAAAAAGCCCCACTTGCTTTGCTCAGGCTAATATATGCTGGTGGTAGTAGGCTTCCACCATCCCATAAACAGGCATGCCTGTGGACATACACTATGGCCTTTTCTGGCTCTGACTTCTGATCAAAGCTCCTAAATTCCAAAAAACATTTCTAGAGCCATGACTGCTCCAAGCAGAGCCTGACAAAAATCTATAGAGGCCCGAGGCCTAAAAGATTTTGGCTACCTACCTCTACATAATTAAATTATTTTTATCTAAACAAAAACTCAAAACTTTGCATGTATTCTAAAATAAAAAGTTCTCTTTCCTAGTTTTTTGGATTGCAAAACTCTGGCTAAAGGCACTGAAACTTAACCTTACTCCATCCTCTGTTCTCTTTTCTGCTTGTCTTTCTGATGCCCAAGCATCAGCGTATTTTGCTGATTGAATAATCCTGTGGAGGTGGCAGGCACTGGCAGAGGCACAAGGAATATAATGGTGAGCAAGACAGACAGACCAAGTCCTTGCCTGCATGCAGCCTGAATTCTACTAGAGAGAGAAAAGCAATAAATACACATATAAGTAATATCACTTCAGGAAGTGATGAATGTGTAGGAGGGAAAATAAAATAGGATCCTGGTTCTCAGCCAGTGGTTTGAGAAGGCATTTAGGGGGAAATAAATCATATTCTTCTGGGGTGCTCTTGAATATTGTGTCTATTTGGATTTGGAAGCCAATGTTGCTTCAGAAGTCACCATCTCCTGGGTACCCCAGAGTAACCCAAAAGCAATGGAGATGAGTCAGGGTTAGACAACAACAGACATTTTGTTGGCCTGGTGTTGCCTGCAACCAACTGGAGAGCAGACATTGAACCAACTCAAATGTATAAACCTTTCCCCAAATAAACTATAGTACTATTTCCTCCTATCTAATCTTCTCTTCATTCACTCTTGCTTCCTGTTCCAATAATCTTCCTCTCATGATAAAGTCATTACTAAGAGAAAAAGCAATGGAAAGCTTTAGATATTGTTCTTGGAAGAAGAGTCCCAGCTGATGTTCTTCTTGGGGACTCTGGGAATATTGTGTTCAACACCTGCCAACTGGCACTATCACAGCCTTCAGATATTTAGTGGCCCAAGTTAGAGAAATGCAGCAGAGCAAAGAGAGAAATATGCTCACATCCCAAACTCATGCTAAAGACAAGGGGATTATGAGCCCAAAAGAATGCTCCAAACTCTTAGCTGAGTGTCTGCTTAGCCAAAAATAAGCTGGATATTCAAGGAGATTTCTTAGCAGAATAAATGAGTCAGAGAAGACTAATCAGGGTACCATTCCCTATACAAGGGGATGAAACCAAGCTCTCCCCAGTTCTCTCTGAGAACCCCAACTTCAGTTTTCTGCCTTGCCAAAGGACTAATTCTTTATCAGCTCTGTCAACAGCAAGTAAGGAAGCAGGCTACAAAATAAGCTCATTCTTAGGGTGCTTCTCCACCTCCTGAACCCATCGAAGTTACTGATGCTGGACAAGTAGTCGTATCATTTGGTTTTGGTTTTCAAAGACCATTGTACTCAAGACCCTATTCTAATTGTATAGTAGTGTGTTCACCTGGCAGCAGAAATCCCTGCAGTTTCCCAGCTGCTCCCATGTACTGTTGGGCCTCCTTATTCTTGCACAAACTATTGGCCTTATTGGAAATGGTTATTGCCTTTTATCACCTGGCTAACACTTGTGTGGCCTGTAAGGTTCAGGTCAAGGGTAATTTCCCCTGATCCCCCCACCTCAGGGACTGGGATGATAAATTGGGATTTTGAATGTCAAGATAATTGTCTCAAAAAAGTAAGGCTTTAGAAAAAGTCCTGTGAAAGCAGGCTAGGAGATGGATTAGAGAAAAGAAGAACCCAGGTGCAGGTGAGACCTATAATGGGAGCTTTTTGGAAGAATCCAAGCAAGCACCATGCTGAGGCCTGGAGTAGATTCAGGAAAGAGAAAAAATGCAAAATAGAAATGATAGTTTGGGTTTGTGGAGGAAGAAATAAGCAAAATTTAGGCCTGGTAACTTAGGAGAAGAAGTGGAAGTATCATTGACAGCAGAGAGGAGGGAGCTGGAGAGACCATGAGGTCAGCTTGTCAATCAAAGACAAGATCTTTGTCCTCAGGAGGGCTTCCAGTAGAGGTTAGGTCATGTGGCTTAGGAGTAAAAAGAGCCTGACCATCTGTGTTCTAACAGAACAACTATTATCACAGAACTGTTCATAGACCTAGGCTCAGAAATGGTGCAGCTATATCAAACATGTGTATGCAGAGATATCCATGCACAGGATACCACACTACAGACACATGTAGGTACACCAATGCAAAAACACTCTTTCCCACCAATGGAGCTGCCTTCTCTTATACTCACACAGACACACAATTCTTAATTCACAGGTATACACTCACACACACACATAGGTTTTAAAATGTAAAACTGATCAAGTGTCCACAGGGACATGAGGATTACCATTGATGTGGACTGAGCAATTATAAAAACCAAATCAGAAGACTCTGGGTTGAGTCAAAATCATATCAGAGAAGCTTCTTTGGAAACATTATAAAATGTAAGATGGTGATTTTATTCCTAAGCTAAGAGCTTTGTTTTGCTCCTAAGCTTTTTATTCTGGCATGTAAGTGGTGATTCCCTCAGTTTCCATGCCTTCTTTGAACTAACTCATACATTTTCTTTTCTTTTTTTTTAATTGAATTTATCAGGATGGCATTTGAGTGTACAATTCTATAATACACCATCTGTACATTGTATTGTGTGTTCAGCACCCAAAGTCAAGTCTCCTTCCATCACCAGTTATCTCCCCTATACCCTCTTCTATCTCCCACCACCCCCCTTTCTCTGTGGTAATCACCTTACTGCTGTATATATGAGTTTTGTTTTGTTTTGTTTTTGCTTAATCCCTTCACCTTTTTCACCCAGCCTTCCAACTGCCCTCCCCTCTGACAGCTCACTCTAGTCTCTGTATCTATGAGCCCGTTTCTATTTTGTTAGTTTATTTTGTTCATTTGATTTGATCCTCATTTCAAACCTCGAGGTTATCTAGGGCACAGGTGGCAAACACAAGGCCTGCAGGCTGAATCCGGCCCTCCACCTTGTTTTATCCAGCCCGGCACCTTGTTTCTGCCCGGTGGCAGCACAGAGCTCTCACTTAACTGCTAAGGAGTTCTTACATGTATACAGCCCTAAAATTACACTCAGTCCTTTGAAGGCAACCTCGAGGCTGATGTGGCCCCCGGTGAAAATGAGTTTGACACTCCTGCTCTAGGGCAATGGATGTTATTATTCCCATTTTACAAATAAGGACACCAAAGTTCAGAGGAGAAAAGTGTCTTGCTCAAGATTACATTGTTTTGTTTTGTTTCATTTTTTTAAATATTTTATTTGTTTATTTTTAGAGAGAGGGGAAGGGAGGGAGAAAGAGAAGGAGAGAAACATCAATGTGTGGTTGCCTCTCGTGTGCCCCCTACTGGGGACCTGACCTGCAACCCAGGCATGTGCCCCGACTAGCAATCAAACTGGTGACCCTTTGGTTCACAGGCGTATGCTCAATCCACTGAGCTACACTAGCCAGTGCTCAAGATTATATTGTTAATAAATGGTGGAATTAGGGTTCAAGTCCAGGTCTGTCTGCCTCCAAAGCAGTTACTCTCCCATTACCATGTGGTATCTGAAATGGCTTACAAACTAGGATTGCAATGAAGAAAAAGTCATCATGTATTACAAGGAAGCAAGAATTGAATAGACTGAGAAGAAGGAGATCATAATGATTACTTCTTTTTCTGTATCACTTTTTAAGTAGTTACAATTTTTAAATTGTGGTGGAAAAAAATGAAACAAGTGCCACAATTTGTTCAAATAATAATAGAACCATCAACAAGATGTTAGAGTGCCCTAGAACAGAACAAGAAAAGCTCTCAGGACAGAGTCTTTAAGTTGAGCTTCAGAGACAAGGGTAAGAGAGAGAAAGGTCATTAGGATGCTGGAGGAGGAAAAGGGAAGAGCTTGGGTGCAAGAGTCCCATCAACAAATATCCTCATTTCCATTTCCTTCAGCTCAGAGTGCCAAGGTGGGGTAAAGGCATCATCTTAATCATATCAATGCTTTGAGCAACTGTGTGAATACTGGTGTCAAAAGGAGTACAGATGATCTGAACCATATCTTTCTTTCCCAACAGACTCCAAAAGTACAGGAATTAGGACCTTCACATCAGCGAGTTTGTAAGTATGCTTATATTTGATGCCTTTTCTTGTGGGGAACAAAAACATATCTAAAAGTTCTGGTATGCAGGAGGTTCAGAGGAATACAAACCAAGAGGAAAGGTGAGGGGCCTCTCCAGCCACTAAGAAGGCAAACTGGTGCCACGGCCAAGTGCAGACCTATGGATTGACGGTCTCTACACAAATATTTCACCCGTCTCTGTCTCATTTTACTCACCTATAAAAATGGTTATGATAGTACCTGCCTCCAGGGTTTGTATAAAAGTATTAAAACAATGCTTACCACATCAAAAGAATACAAAGACTTTTTTATTTTAATCATCAACAACATCTTTATCACTATAGTTAGAACACATTAGTCCAATATAATCATCTCTAAAATACCAAAAGGAAATTTTTAGGTCTTCTGGGGAACTGATAGTAAAACAGAAGACCAGAAAGGGAAAGGAATCTGTCAAGGTCATAGAGCTACACACTGGTTCCCACACTATTCTGTTAGGCCACCCAGATACCTCACTGGATATGGTTAAGGGGACCATGAAGAAGGCAAAAGGTCAATTTGTTTCCACAGAAGCAGTGGGAGGAAAGGAGAGGCAAGGTGAGCTTTACTGAGCACTACCATATACCTAGAATGATTCTGAACACTCTCCATCCATGGTAGGAATTAATGTACCCACTTAGAAATGAAAAAACAAAGTCTGAGACAGGTTAGATAACTCATCCAAAGTCACAGAGCCAAGATTCATTTGTGTTTAAGACTTTCCCCAGAGTCTTCCCTGTTCCTGAAAAATAAAAGATAGAAAGAAAAAGAAACAAACGAACGAAAACACTAAGAAGGGAACTGGACCAAGCTGGAGAAAAGGCATATTTCTCTCAGGCATCATGCAACTCTCCAAATGTTGTGTTCACTTTAGTCACCCTCTGACTCATACAAAGCATTTTTCTCCTTTCCTTACAGACGTACCTCCTAGAGCTGGTGAAGATAAGCCAAGAGCACACCTGACAGGTAATTCTCCCTGATGTGCTTTCCAGGAGACAATGGGCCTGATATTTATTTCATCGTGTTTGCAAAAACTCATTCTAGTAGCTTCAAACAGGAAATCACATACCTTAGTAACAGACTCCCCCCCTCAGTCAACAGTTTTCAGATGTCTTTCTTCCTTGAGGGATCCAAAAGTCCAGGTCTCTTAGGCATTATCTTTCAGATGGTATCAGCCCTCTTCCTTTCTCTATTGTTTCTCACTTTCATTCACACAGTCATTCAGAAATGGCTTTCCTCAGACTCTAAGATTCACATAATGCTGAATCTCGTCAAAGATGAATGATCCCTTGAGTTGCCAATTTATCGAATCCATCTGTCCCCCTATTCAAAATGAAGTTATTGGACATTTACATTCAGGTAGGTATTTCCAAAGAATAGACATTGATGTGAAGAGATTAAGAGCAATCTCATAGTATCACCAGTTGGCCAGCTCCCCAAGTCATGTGGAAATTCCTGGCATTTCATACTTGGAGTTGTGTATACCACTAAGACTCCAGACAAAAAGGCCCAACAGTGCAGAAAGATGTTAAAAACCCATTGAAAAACTATAGTTAAAAAGCAAGCATATCGTCCTGACATATAAAAATCTGCAACCCACAGTGGAATATCCTTGGGCCCAACACATTTGTCTCAATATCTGTACAAGAGGAAGCTGTTCACGGGGAGTCCTGCATGAGGATTAGGGCCAGGAAGATGCCAATCTGCCGTCAATACTCACCTGTAAGAATGGGTGACACTGAACAGGCTGGGCAGAAAACTCTTAAAAACTGAGTATGGAGGTGCTACCCCTCTTCCTATTGAATGGGAGGAGTTGAAATTGGTGAGGGAATCTAGGTTCTAATGAACTCCTAATATGTATCAGACACTGTGGTAGGCATTTTACATATATGATTCATTTAATCTGCATATTATTATGCCCAGTGAGATAGGGAAACTGAGGCTTGGGCAACTAAATTCACTTATCCCAAGTGGCATGACTAAGAAGAGCTGAGAGTTGAGTTTGACTCTCAGAACTGCACTGTTTCCATTACAACAAACTTCCTACCCAAACTCCTACTTGCTGCTATGTTGACAGATCCAATTGCATAGTAATTTAACAGAACTTGCTTTATCTGCAGACAAAATAATTTTTGCTTTTGTATCATCTGGGAGGAAATTTTTTTAATCTACTAAATCACCAACAAAGAAGGAGTAGAGACTATCACGGATGACTAGTAAAAATGCCTTTCACAAATTTTGCAAAGAACCAACAGAGCTCTCCAGAGACCACTTAGTGCAGGGGTCAGGAAAGACCACACACATTCTGAACATGTATCATAGTTGAAAAAAAAACTATAGTCTAGTCAGCAATGGGAAAGGTGCTTTACAAAAATCCAGGAACCAAGGTTTCCAGTCAGCCACCAGGTATGAAGATTGCTAAATGCTTCTTTAAACATAACCAGTCCCCAAACTGTGGCTGGCAGTACATAATGGCGATTACTATGGATTTGGAAATTAAAATGTTTTTATTTTCTCTGAAAAGTATTAGTTTATTGCAGATTATTTTATTTGAAATATGGCTCAATTCTATTAGTTTTTTAGCTATAGATATACTTCATGGAAGTGTTAATTCATATGTTCTACTTAGTGTATACATATAAATAATGCAAATGTAGAAACATATAAAAATATGTAAAATGAAGTAGGCTTAATTTTTAATCTGTCAAAATGAAACATGTTAGCTTATTTTGGCAAAAAAAAAAGGAGAATGTATTGAGTAATGCTGTATCCAGCCATTGTGATGAAAATGTCCGTGCCTCTTTTATTCACTAGATCTTCAGAACAAGAGTAGGACGGAGCTTTATCTCCAGTTCACAGACAGGAAATTGAGACTCAGAGAGGAGAAGGAACCTACATGGTTGATTAATAACCTAGAGTTATAGAGTCAAGATTAGAATGGTGTCCAAGCAACCCAAGAAGCCCTGCTCCCTTCTACTCCAAGAGTCAATTACATGAGCTTATTTACTTTGGCCCTGTTGATATCAGAGAAGAATTTCCAAAATGTTCTGGATCTCTGCATGTGGACTTTTTAAATTAATTTCTGCCTGTGTTTCATGTGGTTTGGGACCACCGTGTTAAAAGGGGGGTGACAGAAAACATTTGACTCTCTCTAAAATGTCTTCTCTTTGTGGCAGAGCATGTTTGAAACAAAAAGATGAATAAAAGTGAATGTCACTTAGAGAATATTCCTAATAACTATAGCATTATACATACCATCTCTCTTCATCCTTTCCACAGGTATTATCATCTCCCTTTTTTTTAAGGAAAGGGATATCAAATAAAAAACAAATCCTGACTTTGTAAGGAAAGAGTCTTTATGCAAAAGGATTATTGCAGGGTGAGAAGGTGGCAGAGGGAAGGGACTAATACAATAGGGAGATCCTCTGACCATAAAGTCTCCAAGTGTCCCCAGAGTTAGGCTAAAGGGATTTTTTTCATAGACAGGAGTAAACAAAGCTAGAAAAAACCAATAGGCGGAGGGAAGGGGGAAGAAAGGTTGGCAAGACCGGAGCAGAACCTTACTCAGGGTAGGGGTGGACCCAAGTTTGGGGACGTGGAGGAAGGAGAAAAGCTTAATCAAAGTTTGTTAACAAGCATTTTGTTCCAATGAATCAGTGGGGGATAAAACAGTTCAGCTAATTATTTGTGAGGCAAAAAATAGGAAATTGGAAGGTCTTTTGTCTGGCCATGGCATGCGTAAACAAGGGGGCACCCGTTAATCTTAAGTCATTTACAGAAGGAAGAGTGGGTTTTTGCAGTAAGCTGATTTCCCAAACCAAAAGAGTGATTGAGACTTCTTAACCTTCACTCCTTTCCAGGATCACAGGGTTCAGGTAAAAGTTAAAATGGTCAGATAAGAAAACTTAGGCTCAGAGAAGCAAAGTAATTTGCCCCAGGTCATTGGCCTAACATGCTACTCTCTGAACTAATGTCCACTCACACACCTTCCACTCAGTACTCCTCAAGCAGCCTGTCAGCTATTGTTTTTAGATCATCACTTTACTCTTTAAAAATAACATGAGACACTTTTTTGCAAAGTTCACAGGTTCTAACATAAGCAAATTAATCCTTTCTCTTGTTTTTGCAGTTGTAAGACAAATGCCCACAAAGCCCTTAAAAAATCAGTTCCCAGCTCTGGACTGGGAACACGAACTTGGCTTGGCCTTCATCAAAAACCGGATGAACTACACCAATAAATTCCTGGTGGTCCCAGAGTCGGGAGACTACTTTGTTTACTCCCAGATCACATTTCGAGGTATCACATCCAAGTGTGGTGAAATCAGCCAAGAGAGCCGACTGAACAAGCAAGATGTCATCGTTGTGGTCATCACGAAGGTAACAGACAGCTACCCTGAGCCCACCCAGCTCCTCATGGGTACCAAGACAGTGTGTGAAATAAGCAGCAACTGGTTCCAACCCATATATCTAGGGGCGATGTTCTCCTTGCAAGAAGGGGACAAGCTGATGGTGAATGTCAGTGACATCTCTTTGGTGGATTACACAAAAGAAGATAAAACCTTCTTCGGAGCCTTCTTGCTATAGGGGCAAGACAGATGTCATTGTGTAAAGGTCCTCTCCTCCTAGTTCCTAATTTTCTTCATTCATATGTAATTATAGCCTCAGGTTTTCTTGGAGCATTCTCCAAGTATTTTGCCTATGACAGTATTTTAGCTATGAAACTTGGGACCCAAAAGTCACACTTTATATGCCTTACTGATGGGAATACCAATTGGAAAAAGGCAGAAGAAAGCAGACATATTATCATGGTTGCTTGGGAGAGTGGTGAGTTTCTAAACATTAGAATGCTGGTCACCAAATGAATGGGTGATCTACTTGAAGCATTTCCACACTTTCCTACTACACATTTGTCACCAGTGGGCTAACTTGTTGTTCAACTTGATTATGAAGCATTTGCTTCCATTCAGGAGCCTTGAATAAAGTCCAAAGCCCTAGAAAACTGTAATACTTTCAAAGGAGAAATCCTTAATCAGATTCCCTAAATACATACTTTCACACCTTGCTGAAAAAGAATGAAAAAAGCGGGTATTTTTCACAAATGTTCTAAAAAAATTGTTTTTCACAATGTTCTCTGTGGCAAATGAGAAAACCTACCTTTCCCTTTTTTGTGTACATAGGCATCAAAACAAACAAGTATGAGTTCCACATGCATATCAAAAATACAACAATAGCATTTATTCACCACAGTTTTCTTGAGCACCTATTATGTTCTGGGTATTACCTTTACCCAGAAGACACTACGAAGAACAAAACAAACTCTACTCAAAACTTATGTGAATATATCATTAGATGGCTCCTGGTTAAATGTGTCTCAACATGCTCTGTGGAACCATGCTCCAAGGACTAACGCCAAGTCATTAAAAAAATGGTATCTGACAGTGTTACATAAGATATCTGGAATGCTCCTGACTATGTAAATTATCCAACTGATTTAGCTCACTCAAGAAAATTGAACACAGATTTCTAGCTAACTAGACCAACTGTACAACAAATGTGACTGATGCCCAGAGACAATGGACTTACTCTCCCAGGGAAAAAAAAAGTCAATCACCAAATCTGGAGCAGTTAATCTGGATCAGCTTCAAATTTTGATTCACAACTTTATATGCACTATTATATGAGTATTTTTCTCTAAAATATTCAAAGGGATTTAAATACAGGATTAGCTAATCAGGAGAGGCTGGACATTGAGGAGGTCTCTCATGCACATCAATGGGTTTATATCCTCTAACCTATGTCATTTTCCTGCATCAATATGTCAAGGGTAGAAGGGGCATTTCTGTTCTTTTAGCCTCTGTTGACTTACTGTAAAGCAAGAATCCACCAATTTGTTCCCCAGGATCAAATGAGTTCATGGGGATGAAACATGTTAACTTTAAGCATTTGTGAAATCTGAGAGCATGTCAGTGTGACATGGGAGTGACCTTCAGCACTTCAGACTCTATTATAAACACTCCCTATTGTGGGAGACCTCACGATGGGTCTGAAGGCAAACCTGGCACCAAAATCACTCTTCTCCTTGTTGCCAGGACACTCCAGAGGCAGAGAAGTGTGTGATGGGGCTCCTGAGCACGGTGATTGGTATAGCAGTACTTGATTGATGTTTGTTGAAATTATAATTAAATAAGCATTAATTTCCAGTTTCTCAGTTGGGAAGTTAAGACTCTAAAACCTTCAGCTTCTCAAAACAGTCATCACAGGGCTCAGTGAAAGCACAGAGAAGGGTGTAGTCACCTCCACCTGGTTCCGAAGAGTCTACACAGAGGAAGTGAGTTCTGAAAGAAGGTGGGCGGACAACAGATGGACTTGGGGAAAGGGCATCTCAGATGGGAGGAATTACCCTTTTCTCAAAGCAGAAAGGAAAGGTTTCTCAGTAACTATAAAACCAGCTTGATAAAAGGATGTTTCCTTGACCAACTCCTAGAACAATATTTATTGGTAGATCACAAATCTTTTATCAATGACTCTAGACTGTCTCCATGGTAAGAATTAACACCCCTACTAAGAAAACAAAATGCTCTGTCTGCATCTGCATGAGAGCACCAAGCAACCTGGGGGTGGGGAAGGATTTGCAATGAAAGAGGCCAGAGTGGTCTGCTCATCTTCTCTACTAAAAAGAACCCTTGTGCCCAGGCTCTTCAAACCTGCCCACTGTTTGGATTCCCATCTGGTGGACCGAGAAGTTTATTCAAGAAGTTGGAACTTCCTACTATCCTAAAAGACTCGAAGCTTGGAAAATATCCTACCATATAGTTATTTTGCTTCCATCATAAGCTTGTTCATTGAAGAATGTATTTTGCTCAAGGTTTCCTGTCTGAATTGATTGAATGCCCTATGTTGTATTTTTTACTGCTCAGAAAGGCCCAGTCAAACCTATCTTGTAGGACTCAAGTCCCACGCATTATTTCCAGGGTAAATATTTGTGCTCTAGTTTTTAAAATGAAGGGGAAGAATGGTGTTTAAGACTATGTGGTGTCCCCCTAAAAGTAGTAATGGGAATGCATTCAAAAGTTCAGAAGGGAAGAAGGAGCATGCTTACATGCTTTGGAAAATAGTTAATTTAGGAGGAAAGTGCTTTGCTGATTCAGTATCTTTCAAAAGGCTGAATTCATATCAATTCCACAAACATTTACTGAGTACCTACTCATCCTGGAGACACAAAGATAAATTATTTTAGTCTCAGATGTGTTAATTCTAACTGCTCAGCAGCTCCACTGTCTACAGATCCTTTAATTTATTTTGGTTGTATTAGCTAGTTAATTAGCTAGCTAACTTTAGACACATGGATATTTTCTCATGAAAATGGGCATGAGAAAATGGGGTGCCATTTGATGAAGGATGATCATTAACAAAATGATTTGTGTTTAGCCTAAGTGACTTTTTTAAATAGCTACCTAAGGACAGTTTTCCATAAATAAAAGGGAAAAAAGTAAAGATACTGTTTTCTATGATAAAATCCATTACTAAGCCAAGTGTGGAGAGAGGTTATTACCTGCTGGGCTCAAGTTTGGCCAGCCACACCCTTGAAAATATTAGAACTTTGTGGAAGACACAGAGGTGCATTGAAGAGCCAGTGTCCCTCAGCAAATACAGGAACCATGATCAAAATGCATGGTGTCACTAGCATTTTGACCCTAGCTTGGTTTAGGTCTATTTGATAGAACAGAATTGCTTAAGCTACCAAAATTTCTAAAATTTTTTACTAAACTACAGTAGAATGTGAAAAGGTACACTTTTCACATCCTGAAAAATGTCTGGTTCAGTTCAATAACAGGGCTCACCAAAGCCCTTGGCTCCATTTCAATCTAAGCTACATCACCCAAGAGGAAATTCCACCCAAGAGGAGTCAATAACTCCTTTGGGTTATAAAAGTTCAACTAGCTCACTGTGCAGGAGGCATGCCCATTGCCAACATTCTCTTGCAAGGTATTTTCCAAGTCCTTTCCCAGTCATGTTTCCATGATTGAGACACTGGGGATTAATTCTTCAGGACAGAGTGGTTTATATCCCACACCTTGCAACACACATGCAGGACTCACTTGCCCTAAGATTTCCTGCTCTCTTAGGGCCTGGAGTCCTGGAAATGTTTTGCCATTTTAGTGGAATTTTTTTTCCATGTGCATCACTATCCTGTATATTAACAGCTATTACATCATATTGGCAGCTAGGCCCAAGAAGAATGTCCTGTCCCACACCAACAACCATATTTGCAACTTCCCAAGCTCTGAGATACTTTTGCCCCCTAACCCCTTACATCATCCCATTTAAGGAAGAAAATACCATATCAGTCCAGACAGAAGTTACTTGTCAGGGCCACAAAAGGAGTTAATGGCAGATCTAGAGCTAGGATACCATCTTCTCGAATCATAATACTAGGCACAGCCAATTACCCTCTTCTCTTAGCAAATGGTATTCATTTTAGTAACTGAAGGAGAAATTGGAAGGAGATATAAAAAGTTTTATCAAATACCCATGGGATAATATAAAAGGAAAGAGGAGACTTCTTCCACGTGTCCTTGGAGGAAGGAGATAGGGCTAATGAGTTGTACTTACAGAATCTCCATTTCTAGCTTCATAACCAAAGGAATTTTCTACCCTAAACCAGAATATCCCCAGATATTGATTTCTCAGTTCCTGGAGATATTCAAGCAAAGGGTTTATCTCAAGGGTTTCGTAGAAGCCATTTCTTCACTGAGGTAGGAGGAGGGATGGAATCAAATAATATATCATGTCTCTCTAAATCTATAATTACGCCATTCATTCATTAACTTCTGTGTGTTCTTTTTGATCATTAAGAACCTGGGAGACCTTGCCAAGAGTTCAGTGGCTTCCAGCCTAGAATTGGATGCCATTTCCCACTTGTTCAGAGAGTATCCAACACAAAGTAACTCTGAGATCTTGGCCAGTAGAGAATGTCGTGGCATTTTAGAGCTGATGCAATCTGTAGAATTTGCTTCAAGTTACATCATTTTAAGGGTGAAGAAACCCAGGCTCAGAAAGATGATACAAAAAAAAGGAAAAGAAGAAGAAAGAAAGAAAGATGATACAAATAGCCCAATGTCAGACGCTAGTAGCTAGTAGCAGTATTGAGACTAGAACTCCTATCTCCGGATAGCAAGCCCAGCAGTCTTTCCATTTCATCCATGAATCAGTTTTTTTGAATGTCAGTCACATGGCAGCACTTACCCAGAGGTGGAGAGCCCAGAAAAGAGGGAACACAACAGGCAAGTCTCATTCTTGTGGCACATATACTCCAGAGGAAGGAGACACAGAGCTTCAAGCAAATGAAGTAGTTGAACTTAGTAAAATTATTTTATTCTTAAAGTCATTAAAATATGTAACTTTCCTCTCTTTTGTTTCAGAAGTGTAGGAATTAAACAAATGTAGGGGTTTATGTGGTTTTAGTGTTAAGCCCACGTGCTTTTATTGGTTTTATGTTTTATGTTAAAACATCATAATCTCCAAGTAAACTGCATATTGTATGTTGTTATGTACGTACTTCACTGGTATGCAGCCCATGTCTTTGGGCACTATTGTGTCAATTCCAATCTCTATGAATGAAATGTTGTATGTATTAATGTATTTAATAGATGTAATTTAATAAATTTGCATTAAAAGCCACAGAATTTTAATAATTGAGTCAATCTTTTGTTAATCTCTTCACTGATATATTTTTCTAAGTTAAGATTTCTAGGTAACTTTTGTGGGTTTTAAAAATGCATCAAGCCCTGGCTGGTGTGGCTCAGTGGATTGAGCGCCAGCCTGAGAGCCAAAGAGTCACCGGTTCAATTCCCAGTCAGGGCACATGCCTGCGTTGCAGGCCAGGTCCCCAACAAGGGGCATATATAGAGAGGCGACTGCACATTGATGTTTCTCTCTCTTTCTCCCTCCCTTCCCTTCTGTAAAATAAATAAATAAAATTTAAAAAATGCATCAAGTTCTCCACATACTTGACTACAACTGATTTTCACAGATTATAATAAATCTTATAACAAATTGACTGTGAAATCCCACAGACTGTGCCACTGGTGAGATGAAGTAAAGGGAATCTACTGAGTTCCTTTTATAAATCAGAAGACTCTGTAGTTAAGTGGCAAAAACTTATACTTAGCAAAAAGAGAGAGGCCAGAGAGAGCCAAGTTAGTACTTGACGGAACCAAAATTTGAACCCAACCCTCACTGCCACTCATGAAAACAGTAGTCATCAGGATTTAAAGGGCTTTAACCCATCCATCTTCTTCCATTTTCCAGAACAGTGGCTGGAGTCACTATTGATGCTCAGCCAATATTAGATTGGGACCATATTAAATTGCCATTTCTGTGGGTCAAAAATGGTCACAAAGAATACTGTCTGTTTCCATCTAATAGTTGTAGGTAAAATCACACATAAATTAAGAAAAAAGAGGGGAGGGCTCTCCTCCAAAACATCAGTCTCAAAAATTTCTCTCCCAATGGGAAACCTGAGAATGTATTGATGTCCTTCCTAATGCAGATTTTGTATTTAGCTTGTATGCATACATCCCTAGGAGTGATATGAACAAAACATTTTTTAAATTTATGGAGAGAAATGAATTGTTTGTCCTAAATTTAATAAAAGCCAATTATAGACAAAAGTCACTGTGCCAGTTCTCCACGTGAAAACTATTCTTCATCTAACTAGCTCACCAAAAACAACCCTTTCAATCAGTTCTCAAAAGGACTCTCTTCCTAGGAACTCTAGAGCAAGGAAACAAAACCAACCGCCTCTCCTGATGTTTGTCAAGTTGTCTGCAATGGATATTCAGCATCCAATCAGAGGCCAGCCAACATTCAGTCAGGATGTCCAGGAATAGTGTCTGTCCTCATTTGTTAGACATGACCCTGGTTGGCTGATGCTTAAGATACACTGGTTGTTAGATATTTGACTGCCATCCCTGTTTACACTGCCTCCACTCACACACACAATAATAATCCTCCTCCTCATCTTCACTAATAATAATAATAGTCCAGGATACAACTATAGAAAACACAGTGGATCTGGAGTCAGTGGACCTGTATCCCAGGGCTGCCAGCTGGCAAATTCTGAGCCCTGGGCCACCCACCTCACATCTGGAGATCTCAATTTCCTCCTCTGAGAATGAGGAGCAGAGGTGAGTGAAGCGAGAGGTAAAGCTCCTTCCATTTTCAGTTTAGAAAGAGGTCTCAATTCTATGCTTGACTCTCAAATGAGCTTCCCTTTTTCAGGTATGTAGGGGGCAGGGTGGGGGGACAGAAGAGGGTATCTCCAAGAGAAAGCAAAATCCCCCATGTACCTTATGCTGCAAAGCTCTCCAGCTGGCACACAGGGACTTTTCACCTCACTTGTGCAGGAAATAGAAAGGTAACTGGAATCAGGAATGTAAACTCCGGGGTTGGCGAATCCTGTTCCCTTTTGACAGCCCTCTTCTCGACTGCTTACCCAGCCACTGCGACTTTCCCTGGGCTTGGCAGTTCATTCACCATTCCATGTAACCAGGGGCAGCACTCACTCAATATGTTGGGCTCCTGCTGGGTGCTGTAAGTGAAACAGACCTGGCTACTGGGCTCACCACGCTTCTGCACTATTGAGTTGAAATAGTGAGGGGATACCATAAGGATATTAATAAATAAAAATACATTGCAATAAGTAGCTTCAAGGAAACAAATGGTGTAAAGGTAAGAATATCAAGGGGGACTCATGTTATGTGGGTGATTCAGTGTTTTGATTTCATTAACATTTGGACTTAACGACACCACAACACTGTTACTGACTGATAGCAAGTGTGAGTCACCCAGTGGGTACTGCTCATGACTAGGACCTTCAGGGACAAAGAACAAGATGGCTGAGCTCTGGCCAGCTGCCAGCTGTCCCTGAGCCAAATCAAACAAGTTGCACCTTGGACTCTTCTGGCATAGCTGGTGGCAACCACCTCACCAATCCCTAGATCTCCACTCCATACTTTCAGATAGGAAGCATCTACCCTGTGGCCACTGCATGGGGATCCAGAATCCCTTTTGTCACTCCCCACTGTTTTTCAGGAATGACACCCAACTAGACTTTGTTTCCCTCTGTGCTAGGGAGCTCTCCCTATCACGCCCTTTCACTAGGGCATTCAACACAGTCTGACACCACAGAAAAATTACTGGCCTGTATCCCTTCTCCTAAGAATTTCATGAGGAGGAGAATAGGATCTGGAGGACAATGCCCATTTTACAGAGAAATAAACTGAGTCTCAGAGAACACCATCATGCCTAAGGATTCATGTGAATAAAGAGAACTGTGTCTGATCAACACCAGTACTATGTTCTCAGAACCATGATTCCTCCCTAGAGGGTATAGTCCATGAGCAAAAGGGTCAGAGATGCCCCACTGGAAGTCTACACAGCAAAAATAAATTCAAAGTGCTTGTGGATTTGATGCAAGCAGAAACAGGGAAGTAAGGCCCAAATGCACTGGAATCTTCTCATCTTTAGAGTCTTTAGAACACTCTCCCTGTTCATATATTCATGAGCACTAGCACTTTGGAGGCATCACCATCTTCTACCAAGGGTCTAAAGGCAGAGCCCGAGGCCATCTTAAACTGGTCTCTCTCCATTATCCCCAACATTGAATCATTCACTAAGGCTGATCCCATCTTTTTTTATTACAACAGCCGCCCCAATGGGCTCCTGCCCCAAGTGAAGCCCACTCCAGCTCATCCACTGTACAGCACTCTGAGTGGTCTTATATAACAAACTGGGTGCTATACACGGTAGGGGAAAAGTAGGTTTACAGTTGTGAGTATGCAAAACATAGAGTTTATTCTTGCATCATTATTTATTAATTACTATATTATTTTCCATATGAACAACTATAAACCTACTTCTGCTACACCCTGTAGTTCTGCTTTAAAATATTCTAGTAGCTTCCAATCCCCTTCAAGGGGAAGTCCAAGCTCCTGCCCTTGTATCCAAGGCCCTTCCTTATTCAGCCCCTTTCAGTCTCTCTACTTCAACAGGTGTCTCTTCCACTTTGTTACAGGCCGGGATATGCAGGTAAATGTTTAACAACCAGCTCTCAAATAAAGTTCTGATTTACACCATTTGCCTGTATCTGTAGTGTAAATATTTCCACCATGACCAATATCAAGAGCCAATGTGTTGCCACTGAATGGGGAGTTGGGGGAAGTTATCTAGTAGAATACCACAGATGCAATAAAAAGGAATAACCCCAAAAGAATAGATATAAGGAAAATGTAGTGATAATTATGAAGTGGTAAATGTTGAGTATTTATTACCTTTGTTTTAATATAATTTATTAAAATTAAGTGTATATAATTTAATGTTTAATCATGGCCATGTTTTATGACTGGCTCATAAAATTCCTGAAAAGTTAACATTCAGCTCCTTAGAGTTGGTATACACTGGCCTCTGCACCATTGGCTAGGGCATTGCTTTTTCTCTTCTTTTTTTTTTGGCTTACTTTTCACTCTAGGGGGAACACCTTCCCTCCCCCTACTTCATGGTGAACTCCTATTTGTTTGCCAAGATTCAGTTCAAACGTCACTTCCTCTTTGGAGCCCTCCCTGAATGACCCATCCAGGGGCCCCCACAGATACCACCACCTCTGCCCCCACCTCAGGCTCATTGTCTGCTTGGCTATCTTCCCTTTATTAGATGATGCCTTCCTTATTCACTCTTGGAAGCTAGAATTAAGTAGATGCTAATACATGTTTGTGGAGCAAACTATTAAATATAATTCCAAATGTACAGTCCCTTCCTGTTAGCATCTGTCTCCCAAATTTCAATTGAAGATTATGTTTGTTAATAATTTCTGATGGGAAATTAATTATTATGGGATTTATTCAATCTCTCCCCAGGGGTCCTGACCAAAGCTAAAACAAGCTTTAGTAGGTAGGGGCTGGAAGCAGGTTGAAGAAAGTGAAAGGGGAAGGTTCCAACCAAAATCTACAAAATACATTTATAACATTAATGTTTTTGTAGAAATATAAGTTCAGATGCCACCCACATCCCCACTGCAAACCAACTCTCCCTAGTGAGAAGGACAGAACGTCAGAATGTGGAAAGAAGCCTGAACAACCGAACAGCTAATCCCAGAACTTGTTTTGGGATTGATCCAGAACTAACTGGAAGAGAGAACCAACCCCCTGCCACAAAACAGACTCAGGGAGCCACTTTTCATTTACTCAATTTGTATTCAATTCTGACAATAATCTTATCCATCAGGACTTGTTACCTCCACTTCACAGCTAAATACACTGAGGCTTAAAGAGGTGCTTTGGCTCTTCCAAGTCCCAAAGGTCATGAGCTGGGGAGCCAAGATTTGAACTAAGTTCTGGCTTATTGTAAAAACCATGCTCCTCTACAGTTTTTTATAAGTCAATCATACCTCAATAAAGCAGTCTTTTTCTTAAGTGCTCTTAACCACTATAAATAAAATATACTGCTCCTTTTTCCTCTAGAAAAAAAAGAAGAATGAAGTAAAGGAAGGAAAAGAAGTCAGACAGGAAGACAGAAAGAAGGGGAGGGGAGGGAAGAAATATTTACACTTGTTAACTCATTTAACCTGACCTAGCAAATAGGTATGTGAAGAAACTGAAGCTTAGAGAGCTTTAAAAA